TTCCTATCAAGGAAAAAGATTACAACACTGAGAGACTTCAAAGCTGCAGCCTTGAGTACCTTGCTTGTCCACTTACTAGTAGTAGTAGTAATGATACTCCTACTATTAGTAACATYAGTACTACCACTACTAAGCATTCAGGTCAAGCATGGTTAGCAGTATAATGCAAAARTTACTATCATCTTTCTCAGCATCATGCATTCCTCACTGTTACTTATGTAAAACCAAAACTATTATTGCAAGCTGCCACCTTTTGCAATTGTAAATGGATTACTTACTAATGACAGGTAATTGCAAAGAACATCTAACAAAGTCAAAAGCACTATTACTCTAGCTGATTCTTGGTTCTTGGTTTATTTGCAAGAAGGGTGAATAAAGATTTATTTTCTCACACAGTAGTACTACTAGACGTAAACAAAAGCATCCAGGGTATTTATTCTCTCTTTGACAGTGATGCTGAATAAACAAGAAAGTAATGGACTAGTAGTACTATTAGTACAAGAAGCATTACCTTTCCTTTAAAGAAACAAATATTGATTTGAAGAATTAACAAATGTGAGGATATTTTTKTATTACTAAACAAAGTCTATTCAAGTGGTAGAGAGATTTCACTAGTTCACAGCAGCAGACCCTTGCACTGAAAAGTACTGACAACAACATCAACAGAGTCATGAAGAAAGACAGCAATTCCAAACATTAATGAGCTTCCCAACTGACATGCCATCATATAATTTCAATGGTAATTTGCCCATTGTCTTTGCATATGACTCCAATCAACTCAAATCTGTGGTGGAAGGAGACTCCTTCTTTTCAATTTTTTTCATGAAGCCATGTCGTGCTGGTGTATCAAATAGCATTAGCATTTGAAAAAATGAGAATTTAATTGTGGATTTTTAATGCTGTATTGTATAGGCTTGGCCACATTTTTCTGGCCAAAATAATTGTACATTTTTTTATTTTAGATATTGARCACTGTATACCTTTAAATACTTGTTAACCCCTATAACCCCCCACACGACCAGAAAGGTCTTTTTACTGGGATTCAATTCATCTGCTTATCATTGTTAAGTGTCTGTTGGGGACAAAATTATAGCTGTTCAAGTGAGTTGACTGTCACTTAATGGCCTACATGTTTTTTGTACTGTGCGTCAACTTTGGGCCATCTAATTACCGTGTAATGACTTGTGGGATTAAAATTTGACTTGTACTGGGCCTACAGCATGCACGTGCAAGCAAAACTATATTGGTCACACAAATGTGAGATTCAAAATTATTTGATGGTGGCACAACTGGTGGGATTAAAAAATTCAGCGCATGCCTTGCTGTAGAGTACATACTTGCGTCGGTCTTGAGTTTATTTAGTCAAAGTAGTCATTACACAGAAAAATAAGGGCTCACTGGCAAACACTATACGATATGTACATGAATATTGATCAATATTAGAAGGACCCTCTAACTCACCCAAAAGACTAGTTTCCTGTTTAAATTTTCTTCCCAATTAAGTGYCTTTCACTCTTATGGGACAGTTGGGGACCAAGATACAGCTCAAACTGTGTGTTTATGCAGTTTACTATAAACACTGTGTATGGATTTTGGGCTATCTTTTTTACTGTGTAGTAATGACTCATGGGACTGAATATGGTTGCAAGTGCATGTGTGCAAAACTTAACTCACTTGACCTGTAGCATTGAAAACTYAGCAAGTGTCTGACTGTCAACTGTAGTATGAGTCAGTTTTTCAGTCAAACTAGTCATGAAWAGAAAAAAGTAAGAGTCTAAAATCTATGACTGAATCACAGATTTGGGTGCCAACTCTATGGCATTCAAATCTGTGAAACTAACAAAAACTGGGTACCACAATTTCAGAGTTATCAACATCAACAAATTGTATAGAGTTGGCCAGCTAATGTACGGCCATCTTTTTTGCGTGTAATGACTAATTTGACTAAAACATACAAAATGCACGTGCTCAGTAGTGTTAATTTTTGAATCTCACATCCATGCAACCAAGAAATAGTTTTGCTTGCACGTGCAGGAGGCTGTAACCCTGGTACAAGTCAAATTTTAATCCCACTAGTCATTACACAGTAATTAGATGGCCCAAAATTCACGCACAGTACAAAAAACACGTAGGGCATTAAGAGAGGTTCAACTCACGTGAACAGGCTTAAGTATGATAAGCACATGGTTGAAAAGAGAATTGAAAGAGCTTTCTAATGGCGTGAAGGAGTACGGCGTACAACAAATATTGAATGATTTACGTGTACATATATCTTGAATTGCAAATGTACGGTTATAACCGTCTTTTTTTGCTTGGCCCATGCTATACGATATTTTGTTCAATGAGGAGTGGATAGATAAGGAGATCCAAAAAGAGTTCAAAAAGTATTATTGCTTTGACTTCTCAAAACACTGCACACCAACTGGAGAGCCCCCAAATTACACATTTTTTAATACCACACAACATTCATGAAATTTTATCACAGTACAGGTAAAGAAAACTGTAAAATCTATAATGGAATGGTTTCTACTTTTTGGGGGTCATGTCAAAAAATAAAGTTAATTAACTGAGTCAAAGGGAGTTGTTAACTTGAGTAATTGAGGTAATTGACTGAGCTGATGTGAGCTATTAATCCTGTCAATTGAGGTAATTAACAAATGTCAATTGTACTTTTAGTAGAAGTAGCCACTACAAAATGTCACTGAAACAACTAGTTAATTACTCAAGTTAATCACTCAAGTTAATCACTCTAGTAATTATGTTTAATAACCCTGATATTTACAAAGTTCATAACTCAAGTTAATTAACTCAAGTAATCAAGTTAATTAACTCAACAAGTAATTAAGTTAATAATTTTTTTGTTTGCCCTCCCCCTTAACTGCAGAAAACTACACCCCCAAAACAAGATATTCTGAACAATGCATTAAAGTTAAGTCTCTGTCCAGTAAGTGCTGCTGAGGTCATAATCACATACATGTTGGTATAAAAAATGCACAATTGGGAGATCTCCTCCTATGGCAAAGGCTAAATTTTGATATCCTCAAGAATATGAATAACAAATTAGTACCCATCAAACTCAAACAAATGACAATGGAGGAGCACACTCAACTCAATTTTCAATTCATATTGCTAATTCAAGAGCTGTCATGATAATCCAAACAAACAAGGGTAAGAATCACTCATGCAACATGATTGGCTATTTTCATGAATGACTGGTTTGATTTAGTCATAAATTCTGATTTGGGAGTGCGTGGAGAAAAAGTGGATTTTGGTTTTGACTAGTTAAAGTTCTTTTTTGACTATTTAGAATAAGTTTCTGACTAATTAGAATATGTTTTTGACTTATTAGAATACTTTGAATGACTCTATTTTGGTGATAACTTGAACTCTAACAAATTAACTCCAAATCAGCCTTAAAATGTCCTATTGAACAGCTGTTCTTCAGGGACATTACAAAACAGTGCACTGCCAGATATTTTAAGCTACTGGATTTACGATGTCTAGTACTCTGACTATCAAGAAGCAGTATCATGTAGTACTTCTGCACATTTCCTATGGTACATAGTACTGATACATACTACTACAGCAAGGAATGCACACCATCAGCCAGAATAGCCCTTTCCAAGACAATTTAAGGTACTAGATAAGGTAACTTAAAAGAAGAAAGAAGTAGCTTTTACTTAAAAGTAGCAGTACACTACATAGAAATTGGCAGATACGACACAGTATAAATTGTACATAGCATCTTTACTGCTGGAAAACAACTTAAAAGAAGAAGAAGCTACTCTTTGTTCAAGTACTATGTGACGTCGTACTAGTAGTAGCTTCTTAAAAGCAGCTTTAAAGTACTGTAGCTTGTAGTATTAAGGTAGCTTTTAAGTTACTTTCTAGTAGCTTTTAAGTTGCTTTCTGGTACTAGGCGATAGATTGATGGAGGAGAAAGGTGCCTTAATTTACTAGTAGTAATAAACATGTAGTCGTGGACATGCGCAGGGGATGAACATGATGAACAATAATATTCTTGACTTACAGGAGTCAGAGTAGTCGTGGGTCCAGTAGCAGCTTGTAAGGTACGTACGTACCATACTGTAACTGGAAACCCGTCGTTTCGTAACGTCCCAGGCCTACGTGTTCGGGTAGGTATTTGTAATATTAGTGTCGTCACACAACACCACCCAAAACTTGGGAATAACCGAACATGTGAAAGAATCTCAGTTGTCATTTTTCTCAGAACACGTTTTGTGATCGATAGCAAATAGATTCCAAAAATTAGTGTACGTACCGAATCAATGCGAACCATCGAAACAACGTTAGGGACCATTTGATAGCTCTCCGTCACCAAAATCACCACTTGTTAAATTTAATCAACATCTAAACCGACATAGCTCCGAAGTTTTGGTAGCGTTGAACGTGACAAGCTAATCTCATACAATGTGCGGACCAACTAAAATTGCATCGAAGACAACAGCCAACACAAGAACGGAGTCCGGCCTCTTTTTGTTTTCTCTCGAATCTTACAATGGCGATGGCGGCCTTCCGAACAACAAATCCCAGTTCTTCACTGTGACAGGACTTGTGNGTGGCGCGCGTTTTGGGTCTTTTGAGTCTTTACGTTGGAGAATAGTTAAGATTCCAGATTCCCAAAAAGACTGAAATGAAGCCTGGCTTGCTCTCAGTCTGTCCGTTGATTTTTTGATTCCCGTTATTACAGAAGTGCCAAACTCCTAGATTTAGCACATTTACGATTCTATAATAACGGGAATCACTCAATATTCTTGACTTACAAGAGTCAGAGTAGTCGTGTGTCCAGTAGCAGCTTGTAAGGTACGTACGTACCATACTGTAACTGGAAACCCGTCGTTTCGTTTCGTCCCAGGCCTACGTGTTCGGGTAGGTATTTGTAATATTAGTGTCGTCACACAACACCACCCAAAACTTGGGAATAACCAAACATGTTAAAGAATCTCAGTTGTCATTTTTCTCAGAACACGTTTTGTGATCGATAGCAAATAGATTCCAAAAATTTGTGTACGTACCGAATCAATGCGAACCATCGAAACAACGTTAGGGACCATTTGATAGCTCTCCGTCACCAAAATCACCACTTGTTAAATTTAATCAACATCTAAACCGACATAGCTCCGAAGTTTTGGTAGCGTTGAACGTGACAAGCTAATCTCATACAATGTGCGGACCAACTAAAATTGCATCGAAGACAACAGCCAACACAAGAACGGAGTCCGGCCTCTTTTTGTTTTCTCTCGAATCTTACAATGGCGATGGCGGCCTTCCGAACAACAAATCCCAGTTCTTCACTGTGACAGGACTTGTGMTTCTTTTGGTGGCAATCGAGTTGTCWATGCGTCAACTTTTTAACTTCATCAAGGTAAATAYCTGAGATTCACGATACAGCAAACGAATGCACCCAATTCGGTTCGTTTCGATTCACCCTTTGTTTCGATGCTGCTATTTCTTTTCGCAAAGGACATGCACCCAATATTGGAGGACGAGATCAGTCGGAACATATTAGCGCGGCATATCGGTGTAGAYTCTTTCGGCTGTTTCATAGTTGCCTTTCTGGGATTGAAGGCGCGKTATGTGCTGAAAGACGTGATTGACGCCACTATTGGGGGCAAACCAAATGCAATGYCGGCAKCCTACGAAGGTAGGATGTTTACTTACCTACCGGAGGGCCAACGGGTCTGTTTGTTTTTCCTTGCATATCAACTAAAGAATACTTACGACAGCATTGTATGGAACGATGGCATGATTTTCCTTATCCACCATGTCTTAACATTGTTTACCATTGTGAGTTTTATGAAATTGCCCTGAATCCTATGAATAAGATTAATAATAGCAATGGCAAATMAGCACTAACCCATTTTTTTCTAAGTGGGGCGGAATTCAAGGAAATGCTCATTTTTATGCGCTGTATTTCTTCGGAATTTCTGAGATCTCAACTGGAGGTGAGTTGTGTCGGGTGGTCATACTTTCCGTCTCACTTCTTTTCCCGTACTAACATTCTTAATGAACATTTTGAAAAGTTTTATGTTTGCTTGCAAACTTTGATGACGAATTTGGAGTTGTCGGGCTCGCCGATGCCTTTCCGTTGGTGAAGGCTGCCTTGGGAGGAATTTTTGCGCTTATGTTTGTCATCTTCAGAGTCTTAGGTTGGTCTACCATGAGTTACTACTTCTGTCGGGACGTATGGAACGCTCTCAAAGGATCCAACTCAAGATTAGAATTGCCAGGACACCGAATCTGGTTCCGTTTCACACTCTTTTCTAATGCGATCTTAAGTTCGCTGCAAATTATTTGGTTAGCTGAAATTGTACGAATTGGGAAAGAAGAGCTTAAAAACATGGGATTGATTTGATTCGACAAAATATGAGTATTGACTGGTTGTTTATAGTAGTGAGAAGGCGATGTTGGGTGAAAATGTTAACCTTGGCAACATTTTCGTAGCCAGTAGACGGCTTGAACTTGCATTTTCAAAATTRTGAAGTCCGAAAACATTTGATGTATATTACGGATTTGTTTGAGTGAACAAGAATCTTCGTTGGATATTATACCAATTGCAGAAGTTCTTAACTTTGAGAAGATGACGAAATCTCATGGATGTTAGCCCGACGAATGCGGAAAATGGTTTTGTGAAATTCTATATTTTTGCACACACAAGAAGTTGAACGTATGGTGATGGATATTTTAGGACATATTAATTTCCCCGCAGGTACTTTTTACAAATAACGAACAGTAGATTGTTATCATGCAAAATATGCAGCGACAAAATCTTCCAACTGTTGGATGTTCTAGAGTACCATGCGTTGAAAACGATTATWGACAACGTTTAGCGATGTCGATAACAGATAGAATCCATATTTTCCCACCAAAGCAAAGTGCCAATCGTTCTCTAGCCGCTGAACATCATACTGACAAACTCTTTGTAATCAATTTCACCGTCCCCGTCTTTATCCGCTTCATTAATCATGTCTGAAATCTCTTCATCAGTTAGTTTCTCTCCTAAATTGATAAATATTTGTCTCAACTCTTCGGCGGAAATCGATCCATTGCCATCGGTGTCGAAGACCCGAAACGCTTCAAGCATTTCCTCTTCGGCATTGTCGTCTCGTTCTAGCGAAGGCATCATCTCAACAAATTCCATGAAGTCGATCGTTCCGTTCCCGTCTTTATCAGCCTGAACGAATAATCGGTTTCAGCAGCCCACAAAAATTTCGATAAGTGTTTAAACACACAACGTTAACCGAAGATTTTTTTAGCGCCGAGTTCAATGGTTACCAAATCTAGAATTAAAAATGGGTACAAGAATTGTTCCTCGGGTTTCGAACAGAAATATGAAGCGGCAAGTAGATGTTTCTTACCTCGCGAATCATATCTTCGACCTCTTCTTCTGTTGGTTGAAGTCCTAAGGATCTCAAGACTGTACCAAGCTCGTCGTTATCAATAGTTCCTACAATYGGCAAGGAACGAAACCATAAACGAGGTTTAGCAATCACATATACGGTTTTCAACGCAACMCAAACGATCGGCGAAGCGAACGGTTGGGACAGTTCTTTCCTTCTGTACATTAACTTGCTTTTTGGAACAAGATCATTCATTTCKGGAGCAACAAAAAATCACTTACCGTCGCCRTCCTTATCGAAAAGAGAGAAGGCCTCCTTGAATTCAGCGATTTGCTCTTCCGTGTATTCATCCGCCATGATGATTTTAATTTTAATTTGAAAGAAACGGAAAGGGTACTCTTTAAACTTTGTWTGCTTTTTGGGTGCTTTCAAACTAGATAATCATATCAAATGCAGCTAGTTTTGAGYTGGAAGGGTCAAACTACCGGTAGGATAATGCTAGCGATCAAAATTACTCCCAACAGATAGTGGGCCACACGATTCGGTACTCGTACCCGTACGAGTATTGGATTTGTACTTCGTATTTATCATTCATACTTCTTAAAATTCATCGCTACGTAAATACGGTACCCGAACTGGTAACTTTGTCCTTCACTATGGATTTGGTAATTCGTACAAGTATTCCCTGCCCCAGCATGGCATCCTAAAAAATAAAAAATATCGTTCAAAGAATAATTGACCMAGTACTGATACATACGAGTACTACTGTAATGACTTTTTTAACATTGAGAATGACCGAGATCTTGATACAGGACTTGTATATTTAGTCATGGATGGAKTGACAACAACAACGCTATGGTAATACTGTACTAACATACGTACATCTGGTWCAAAATTCCTTTGTATTTTTGTTTTAAAAAGTCTGTCCGCTCTATCGACCGATGATAGCTTGATTTGACGATACGTACCTCGTACGTACGTACCAGTAACATGGATTGCTCCATCCTACGGTAGTGCCGTACGAATACGAAATACGAGCCATAGTACTACGTACCGTACGTTACTGAACTTCGCATACGCGTATTCACAGGCCATCACGGTTTTCCAATTTAATGTACCATGTACTAATAGATTCGAGTCTTCAAGACGTCGAACAGAACATGATGATGCCGCATTGCATAAGGTAGCCTCTAGAAAAATGTATTTACGCATAACTCTTTTCATCATCTGCATGTGCAGGGTTGTGGATGCGTTTACGACAAGATCTTCATTATGCCACTACGCTGTCCCATCCAAATGCAGCGCAACTCCAAAAGAGTCGTCTTCCGCATTTCCAAAGGTGAGATCGATACCGCCTTCCTCTCTGTTCCTTTCCTCTGAGAACAATGAGAACGCCCTATATGTGCCAAAAGGGATTACTCTTAAAATTGCATTCGATTCGCAGGGGGGAGTTGCTGATTTGTCTAGTGAAAAATCAGAACGTTTCACGTGTGGAGAAAGTCTTGATATGGTACACCGGTTGAGGCGTGTTTCAGACGCTGTGTTGGTAGGACGCTCCACCGTCGAGATCGATGATTGCACCTTGACGGTAAGGAGAGTTCCACTCCTACCACTTGATAAGGAGCCATCCAACGGTACGGCACCAAAAGCGAAAAAAAAACAACCTTTTCGAGTCGTTTTGGACCCAAATCTCGATCTCGAATTAGATCAGTTCAAAATTTTCCAAGACGGATTGGAAACGATTGTTATACATGCTTTGTCAGATAGTGATCTGGTTGACGCAGGRTCAAAATCAACTAGTGCGGACGAAATGGGCAATAGTTACTTTGTCAAATCAACCAAAAAGGAATTTCCCGCTGTAACATTTCTTGGACTTCAACCTATCATCGATCAAGATAAATTACGTCTCTGTACTCGGCAAGTACGCGATATTCTTGCAGAAGAATTTGGTATTCATCACATTATGGTAGAAGGAGGCCCTAATACTGCTCTTCAGTTTCTAAGGGACAAAACGGTGGATCGTGCCATTTTGGTTTATGCTCCCATATCATTTAAAGATCCTTTGCTATCCAATATTTCGACGTCGGTTCTCGAGCAAGCGGGTCTAGAGCCTATTGAAGGCTATAAATTGGGAGTTGACTCRCTGAAGTGCTACTCTCGACCCGAACTTTCGTGGCCGTCGACTCCCATTAAATCCTGGCCCTGATTTATTAAATATTTGGCAATTCCGATTTTCTCCGCAAGATGTATTGCATTATGGAGCACGCCATATGGCTTTCATTTGATCTGTTCTGTATCGTTGGGTGCACCAACTCTCTTCCATTGGCGTGGTTATTCCGAACTGAAGTGCGAAGATTCCAGCTTGAGCAATCATCGCCCCATTATCAATGCAATATCTATGATCCATAGCGCTGACACCTCCACCCCGTTCTTCCACCATTTGCCGCATCATTTCCTGTAATCGTTTGTTGCATCCAACCCCTCCCACAATCAGGACTTGCGTCTGTCCCGTGTGCGCCATTGCCCTTTCTGTTGTCTCCACTAGCATGGCGAATAGGGTTTCTTGTAAAGAAAAACAAAGATCTTCCTTTCGTTCCGTCTTGGCTAGTTCCTCGACCTTTGTCAAAATTCCTGAAAAACTCACATCCATCCCTTTGACAACATATGGTAATGGAATGTATTTTGTSCCCTTCTTTGCTTCTTGTTCGATGTTATAGCCTGGTGATGGATCATTTGAAAGTTCAATCACCCTAGCGAATCGGTCCAAGCAATTTCCTATCGCAATATCGATGGTTTCCCCAAATATACGGTAGCGTTGATTTGAGTAGGCAATAATCTGAGTGTTTCCTCCACTGACGTATAGTACCACTGGGTTTGGTGCTCCGGTAGCTAGTCGTCCCATTTCAATGTGGCCAACACAATGGTTGACACCCACCAAGGGCACATTCCATAACAATGACAGAGTTCGAGCACAGATTGCACATGATTGAAGAGGCCCGCCCATCCCAGGACCCTTTGTGAAGCAAACTGCGGTAATAGATATAATTCAAGGTCAGATGGTCGCGACGACAGTACCGCACATCCAGAAGAGACACCCTATAATTTATCGTAACTTCACTTACTTGCAGATATCAATAGTTCTGGATTCTGTTCATCTGGAAATGCTTCCGTCAGTGCTGCGCGAACTAACGCCACAATGTGATTCTGATGATGCTTAGCTGTTTGTTTCGGCAAAAAACCTTGTCCTATTGGCGATATGTATGTCTTTCGTGGATTTGATAGGATGTGATAAGTGGCTGGTTCTTCGTCAACATTTTCTGTACTGCTGCTTTTCTCATTGTTCTGGTTTGGTTTTGAAGGAGAATACTTCAAAACTCCTACGCCCACCTTGTTCGCAGAACCCTCAATTCCAAGGACGATCGTGTCGCCGTTCTTGTTGGGTTTGTAATTTCCATGAAGAGACACGTCGGGAATCGGGAGATTCTGGATAGAATCCGCAGAACAAGGCCCATCAACAGCCGTTTGGATCATTGTGATGGTATATCACACGAATTGGTTGAATGAGAAGTATAAACGCAGCGGAGCTATAGTATGGGGTTTTACTGTGATCKAAGAACTGTGGCTTTCGATTATTCTCCCTGCATTATGTTTCAAGGTCGATGRTAGTCGGCGGTTGACCACTTGCTCAACACAATAACWCTCAATTTTCGCTAAACCTGCTTCCGCACTGTAGCATGTACGATACTTTGCGTACCGTTTTGATGCATGGTGGATGGGATATGTTTTTGAGACGTTTTGAAAGTTTGTGCTTCAATCGTTTTTGATTTTGATGGGCGGGATACAAGCGGAAAATAGACTCAATTTTTCAGTTCAATCACGAGTGAAATAGAGCCAGTGGCATTAATGCAAGTAATTACAGTAGGTCTTTTGCGCATATTGAATTGCTAATGTACGACTGGGTCGGCCGGAATCACTCCGCCAACGCTATACGATATTTTCATAAATTATTAATTTTCAAAACAAATCTTTCAAAATGGATGTTCGCACACCCAAAATTACACTTTGGAAAATCTACTGATTCCTACACAGTTA